GTGGTAATGTTTTAAGAACATTATTGAAGACCAGATGACTCTGAATGAACATTCCATTAACATTACTGGAAGAACGTTTGTTCATAACTTTGAGAGAACCTTCCCAAAATATTAGCCAAAGTTCTGAGAACGTTCCCTGTTAGCCAGGTACAGGGAGAGAGAGAAGAGGACTAGGAACTGGACATGATTATTGTTCCTGTTGTCCAAACAGTACAGCATGGTGCCAGCAATGCCATGGATCAAGGGCTTGATTCCCAAGGAATGCATGAACCGAATTGAATGAATGTTGCTTTGGCATAAATGTAAATGACAGGCCAGACTCAAGCTTGGCTCACTGTGAGCTCACAATGTCGGGAAAAGCGTGCCACAGCTCTGTGCCACATAAAAAATTCTGAAGAAAAACCACTGTTTATTGAATGTAATTTATTAAATGAAACCTGAAATACAGTCCCTGAAAGGACAAATACACATCACATACATTCACAGGATAAAGCTACTGCATGAAATGCATCTGTTACACATCCCTTTAAGTGTAAAAGTTTTGAGGGAATGGACTTTAATTTAATTTTAATTTATGGACAGAAATCGCTCAGGTTTCCTAAGAATATCTTCATTTGTGTTTTGAAGATGAACAAAAAGTCATGTGGTTTTGGAATGACAAAGTGTGATTTTCCTTTTTTGGGAAATAACTCTTTATTTAGTAAGCGTGACTCTGGAAGAAAGAGGAAGATTTGATCAGAAACAGTGGGTAGTGAGCAAAATTCAACACATTGACCAAAATTCGGGACCAAAATTTATATCTGGTTAGTACAAATTAGTGGTGCGAGTCGTTGACATGTGAAGTGTATTATGGACAGTTTAGATCATTGTGCAGTGCAGAAATTAAAGATCCCAGCGACGTGGGAGTCTGAACTTTCCACTTTTTTGTCCGATACAGCTCAACCAGTGTTTCTCATTAGATAAATCAAAGTAGTTCCATCGAAAAGTGCTGCAAATAACAATGGCTGCTGGGATGCCATAAAAGCGCAGAGTGAAGCAACATATGGTAAACGCAGTGAGAGATGGAGATAATTATTCCTGAAGGATCTGGGAGGATGACGACCTGGTTGAGGTAGCGACGACTTCAGCAGACATGCTAGGTTGTGGGTCAGTGAGTCCGTCTCCAGTGAAAACCCCACCCAGACAACTCTCTACCCCACCCCAAACTGCCCTACAGGGAGGTAAATATCTCTCATTTCCTGGGGAAGTGAATATAGCCTCGGCTAAATCTGTTCAATCTCCGCCCGATTCCCAGGGCAGACTTTACAGGCTGTCCAGCGTGGGCTGAGCCACCCCACCAGGCCCGTGACCTTCCTCACGCCTCGCCCACAGTGACGGCAACACACTGGCAGGAGGCTCCTTCAACATGCCACGGCGTACGTGTGTGTGCGTGCAAGTGTGTGTGTCTGTACCTTCTCAACCTTTCCCAGCTACCCTCCTTATCCTTCCTGACTCTGAATGCCCTGAAGGACTCTTGGAAGGATTTTTTCGCACCCTTTCAAAGAGTTCACCTTGCACTGTGTGTTTTGATGCTGTCTTTTCCGAGCCATTCTGCAGAGCTCCAAACATTTAATATGTTCTGTTGTAAGAGTTCTGAACACAAGCCAGTTCTAAACATCTGTCTTCTCTTAAACGATGAAAAGAAATAATGTGTCAGGGTTGTCGAATCTTACATAATTTGGTGACTTATTACCATCCCAGTGTCTTGAAAGAACAACGGTGCTAAAGACAAAGAGCAGACAGCATATGTAAACTACTTGTATGAAAAAACCAAACTGTTATGGGAGGATGTTTGTGTGTGTTACTCTCCTCCAAAGGCAGTGCGGGAAATTCTTAGACAGTGAGTAAAGCTTCAGTAAACTGCAGAAAAAAAATGGATGGTTTGGTGTGGAGCTCTTGATATTAGCCAACCATAAATGTGTGTGTGTGTGTGTGTGTGTGTGTGTGTGTGTGAAAGAAGCACAGACATAAATGTGTTACAGCTGCTTTCCATCGCAGCAGCTGTTTGTAAATTGCCCGCACACAACGCTAGAGAATTTCTCTCTCACCAGATGGCGTTTGTATGTCCGATTTGAAAAAAAAAAAAGACAATTCATATTATTTATGACCGTAGCATTTGCCGCAAGTGATAACAACACAACCAGTTTGACCTAAAAAGGATGCGTGGTCCATTGCGCATTTGTGAATCCCTCAAAGAAATGATTCTGTTGGCTCTTTTCTCCGTCTTCTGTCCTGGTTGAAGAATTATTAAGAGCTGCAGTTTATTGCGGTCTGCGATGCAAATGCACCAGCCTCTTCCCCTGGGTTTCATTATGAAGGTCATAGTTAATGGGCGGCCCTGTATATGGCTGTGGTGTTTGGCTGGAGTTCCCGCTGACAGACAGGAAAGGCTGTAATTTAACATTCCACCTTTTTCCCAGATAATGCCATGGCCCTGGTAGGGCTCTGCTAGCCCAGTAGAGAACAATCACAGGAAACTGCAAATGATGAAAACGTGCTCTCTCTAGAAGACACTACGGGCGGACCTGTGAGAGAGCAAGGGACGAAGAGCAAAAGGAGAGAGAGAGAGAGACTAATACAGAAAAATGAGTGAGTGGAGAAAATGAGAACTATAAGAAAGGAAAAAGACATTTTCATCAGAGCTGAAGGGAGGTGCATCATGGGCATCTGACAGCATGTCAGCCTAAACTGGCCTGTTGGCTCACTGGGACCAGGACTTCCTGCTCTGAAGATTCCATTTCCTGTGCTGCTGAACAGCAGAACATGCATGCAGTCCCTTTTGCGCTTTTAAAAGCACTAAAATTCAATTTTTGTTCTCAGAAATGTGCTTTACATTGCTCTCAAATGTGAGTTGTACTGATAATTATTTAGTTCATTACTTTTTATGGTCTTGAAATATTTATTTATTAATCTATTTTATTTCATTTATTTTTTTTACATCATTGTGAAGCCTCTTTTACTAATTTTTGGGCATTGTGTAAGACTCCTCTCTGTTCCAAGGCATAATTCGTTGCAAGCAGCATGTGAAGCCAACTGTAGAATCTGTTCAGGGATTCTCCTGCAGTAAATGGAGTAATATTCCTGGAAAGAAAGAAATGAGAAATGTCCATCAGGAACTGACAAGTCCAGCAGGGGTCTAGTTTGAGCTGTCCCTCATCCTTGAGCCAGATGTGGCCTGTCCCTGGTCTGGGAATTCGGTCCATTGTTCTCTAGTGCTGGAATCCCATTCCTTTCCTGCACTGGGTTTTCCAAACGTGTGGTTGGTTGGTACAGTCCATTGGCATCACAGTATGTTTGTGATTGATTTTCATGATGTTCTCAGATTTTGTTATGTATAGAGACTGGGTCAAAAAAAAAAAACAACTATTGAGCTTTTCCACCATTAATGCCAAAAAAAAAAAAAGATTCCACACACAATGGGGTAAGTTGTCACGATGAAAGGATTTTCAGCTAAATTTAATCAATAAAACACAAAACAATTTATGAAACAGCAACAATTATAAACACAAAACTGAAAACCTTCTTAAATTGGGACAAGCTGTCATGAGTTTTCATTTAGTTTAATTGATTTATTGAATACGTAATTTGATAAATAAATTCTACAGCACAATTGTTTATACAATTAATGAAAGAATTACTGAAAGAGCAACAATTATAAAGGTTAATATATAATGAGATATATTAATTACATATGCGACCCTGGACCAAAAGGTCTTAAGTGTCAATTTTTCAAAATTGAGATTTATACATCATCTGAAAGCTGAATAAATAAGCTTTCCATTGATGTATGGTTTGAGATACAACTATTTGAAAATCTGGAATCTAAGAAAAAAATCAAAATACTGAGAAAATCGCCTTTACATTTGTCCAAATGAAGTTCTTAGCAATGCATATTACTAATCAAAAATTAAGTTTTGATTTATTTACGGTAGGAAATTTACAAAATATCTTCATGGAACATGATCTTTACATAATATCCTAATGATTTTTGGCATAAAAGAAAAATCAATAATTTTGACCTATACAATGTATTTTTGGCTATTGCTACAAATATACCCCAGCGACTTAAGACTGGTTTTGTGGTCCAGGGTCACATATAAATAAATGTATATTTCAGTATAATATAAAAATATGTTTGTGTAATTGGTCTTATATGCATATAAAAAATTCTTAAATAAATAATTGTATAAACTTTTTTGGCCAACCATAATAAAATGTTATTAATCAAATTTTTACCAAATTAAAACTTTGAAAAACACATAGTTTGTCCCAATTTAAATTTAGATGGTTTTCAATTTCAAATGTGTTATTTGGCTTTTCACTTACTGAAATAAAGCCCCTGTGACAAATTGCCCTGGTGTCTCATATATTAAACATGTAAAGTCAGATATTTCCTTTGGCAATCTATGAAAAAGGAAATTAAAACCCTCTTTTTAACCCACACTGCTACCATATATACCTTTATGTGTTATTGAGTATAATATCATCTTTCAGTTGTTGTGACTTTGTCTTTTTTCTTGAACAGAATGTGCTGCTTTACATGAGCAAGGTTATAAAAGATGAAAGCATTTAGTGTACCTTGGTTCAAGGTTCATGGGAAATGCTCAGTGCTTCAGTGCACGGACATCAAAGTAATTAATTAATACTGAGAATGCAGCAGGAAACATGATCACTTTTAAATCCTCTTAAGTGAACAATGAGGTGGGTGCTTATTAATCAGTGTTCTTTGAAAACAGAGCCGACTGCCAGTAAGCACACACAATCAGAGGAAGATCGCTTGGCTTAACTTACCTGTCTGTGGTTTATTTTTGTTGCTCTTTGGATATCACTTTCATCCTCACAATCACTCAATCATTCATGAATGATGAGTAATAAAAACACAAATGGTATATGTCACTATTGTACTCTTTATGAATGCAGTATGATCCTGTTACTCAGACCAGCAAGAATGTGTTCACAGCTCACAGTGTTGGTCTGAAAAAAATTATACCACAAATATTTGAACAATTCCAATGAAACCATAAATAAAAACATCTCGCATATTGAAGGAAACAAGTAAATTGAATGGAAACCCAGTCTGTGCTGGATTGTTATGACAATGATTGTGGTTTTAACAAGAACATTTCTGGTGTTTGGATCACAATGTTTGGAAGTCTCTCAGAATGAGAACATTACAATAAAGCAATAAATCGTTTTTACAAGCTTTCTGTAAACAGATACAATATAACGTCAGCATCAGCCAAACAAGTGATAAACACAAAGAATATTTCAGCCACCAGCCAAACTTGATGACGAGCTGTTCACTGTTGTTTTTAACCTCAGAAAACTCTTGACGTACAGCAAATTCACAAATTGATTTAGATCATCAAAATCACTTTGTTTTCTGTTGGCTGGTGAGTCTATGACTGTTGTCCCAGTAAAAACAGTGTTCTCGAAGAGTCAGAGACATCTGTGAATGTGGGATGGGTGCAGAAGTTCACGCAGTACAATTATAGAAAAGGGAAGTGATGTTCTCTGCCAAAAGATTTGATTAAAGAATGGAAAACAACAGCTGCTCTTTGCTGATAGGGACTAGATTACAAACAGCTAATTTATTTCTATCTTTATTTGGATTATGACGTTATTATTTTGCACATGAGGCAAGAGAGCGTCTCCAATAATCCAGTTCCAAAAGATGGGAAACATTTTAGTCATCTTAGACACATGCTTGAAACAAAGGCTGTTCCAGATGTTAAGGTGTCTTCACATTTGTGATCAAAAAGATCCAATGTCTGTTGTCAACAGTGTAGTGCTTTATAAAGTGGAGCTCACACAGAAGTCACTTTCAAACCAAGAAGCTATTTGTTGGTCAATGTGGCGAATTTTAGTGAACAACTTGAGGTCTTTGGGAATTTTGCGTGGGTGAATCTTTCACCTTCATGGGAAATTCCCAATTGCGTGGATTCCTATTAAAATGACTGAATTTCACACACGGAAATTCACTGAACAATGGTAAATGTTACTATACTTTTAGGCACCGTTTATTATATTTTGTGTAAAATCAAAAGGGTATTTTTAACACCAGGGAGCCACATTGTACTCTATAAATTTGTTTTATTCAGTATTGAAAGGTTTTGTTGTAGAAAATCACCAAATATTTGTGTTCGACATTAGCTTAGCAACATGCTAATCACCCCCAGGTGACACCCTTCTCTAGACACTTTTAGTGGGTCAAGCTGAGAGATGAGCTTGCCACAAAACTAAACATGTGAAAATATATTAACAATTTTTTGAGGGTTGAAAAATTAGTTGAGGCCACTTGCTGCAGGTCCTTGTGCGTGCAATTCATCTGCTGAGAGTAGAGCTGATGACAAGGCAGGGTCCTTCCCTCTGGGCCCCTGCACCACATATGGAACCAATGCAAACAATCACAGAACATCGATCTCTGCAAATGTTGATAACTGCAGATTTTACATAACAATGTATGTGTGAAACACACACACACATTTAGAGAGAAAGTGAGCGAGAAGAGAGACCCCATAATGTGTGGCAGCACCAAATCCGAGGTTTCTTCCTGTGCTTTTCCCAGAGGCAGTGACACATGTCAGCTGCATGCTGTTTACTTCTGCAACTTTTTCTCCACTGTGTGTGTGCATGCTTGTATGTGTGTATTAGTGAGGAAGTTACACATCCTGTTGGAGCACTCATGTCATTAATTACTCACCCTCATGTCGTTTCAAACCCGTAAGACCTTCGTTCATCTTCGGAACACAAATTAAGATATTTTTTGATGGAATCTGAGAGTTGTCTGACCCTGCATAGACAGCAAAGCAACTGAAAGACTCCCGAAAAGTCCAGAAACGTAGCAAGGAGATCTGTAAAATAATCCATGTGACATCAGGGGTTCAATCGGAATTTTACGAAGCTACGAGAATACTTTTTGTGCGCAAAAGAAAAAAAAAAGAAT